ACCACACGAGTCCTACCTCAAAGCGAGAACAAGAGCGACAAAGACAGCCGGACTTCGGGACAGGCGAGAGCGACTCGTTTGACATACGAGAGCGTATAAAGCAGCAAGGCGAGATATAGTCTCGTCGTGACCGATTGTCTCAACCCCCAACCCGTCATCGAGTAATCAAAGGCAAATACCATAATACTCTACACAAAATTATGCACAATATATGTGATATAGAAAATATATCTACACTACGACAATACTCTTCTGTTACACAGAACTTTTAAACAGTGTACAAAAATATTTAGTAGAAAATAATATGGACAGTGGTTACCTTAAATACTAGTCATACTTCTACGGTACTGAATAACCTGGAAATTTAGGCGACACTGCCGAAGTAAAAACAATAAGTGTGACTTGATATTGAGTAAGAAAAAGGTTTATACCGCTGTGAGCATGGGTCTGCGGAGAGAATTTCTCCGCGATCCCAATTTAGCAGCCCGAAGAACGTTTACCCATTTAAACAGTCGTGGTAGATACCTTGTTTGTTTTAAACATCATAAATACACAAACAACAATGAATGCTTAAAGTTTGCGTACCCGAATCTCCCACTGGTCCAAACAAAGTAGGAACAGCATCATTCTTCAGTGCCCTACGCTGTACATATCCAGCATGAATCGCTGAAAGATTTGTGAAGCTTTGGCCGTTTCTCAATCTCGAGGAAACTGGCTTCCAAGCCAATATTTCAAGGATACTACGTCATCGAATGCCGCCGAAGGACTGTTCCAATCTCCAGCATGCTTGGAATTCCACCGAGGCCGCGTCCTTGGTTTGGGGATAATTTCGAGGCTGCACATGGGTAGATTTTGCGTCCTTCAAATCCCCACAATGCTTTGCGCACGGACCAATTTCCCCAAATCTGTGGCGGAAAATGNGTGTGCCTTGGCAGTCTCAGTAGCACATGTCTTCCGAGTCACTTCCTTCAGAAGCTAGGCAAGAATCCTTCTTGTCATTCGGAAAATGAAGAGTGGAACAGGCTAGCAAGTGTGCAGGTGTGCGTCATATGAGAGGCCCCGCCTTACATTTTCCGCCACAGATTTGGGGAAATTGGTCCGTGCGCAAAGCATTGTGGGGATTTGAAGGACGCAAAATCTANAAACTCTAACACAGTATATGCTGCCCCAAAACGCCTCGTTGGAGATTTCTCTTTTTACATTGTTTACTTCCTGGGTACTGCGACGTGTGAAATACCCAGTCTGGGTATTTCACACGTCGCAGTACCCAGGAAGTAAACAATGTAAAAAGAGAAATCTCCAACGAGGCGTTTTGGGGCAGCATATACTGTGTTAGAGTTTTACTCGCTACAGGGTGTACTTTGAGGGTTTGTGACTCTGCAGACCGTTTACATGCATAAAAACCTTCATAACACACAAGGGGACGGGTAATAACCGGAAAAGCATGACATGGGACCTTTAAGTATAATTTGATGCTAATACTTTTGTACTTTTACTTGAGTAACATTTTGAATGCCAAACTTTTACTTACTTTTATAGAGTATAGAGTATACAGTGGTACTTCTACTTTTACTCAAGTACAACATCAGAGTACTTTTCCACCATTTTTTTGTTAAAAGTTGCATACAATAATTGGAATGTGTTTTAGGAAAGCTACTGCAGATGTCATTATTGTCATCATGGTTATCTCCCTCAAGCCATACTAGAGACTTGACATGATTTTGACCATTATTACGTTTATATCTGGCTCCTGTGATTCAATCACTTATCACCTTAGCTTAAAAAAGCTAAATGGAGTGTTGGGTGGTTTCCCTGTCAAAGCTTAAAGGCACACTTTGACCCTAATTTGACCCCACATTATCAGATTGACATTAGCCCTCATCTTCCCACATGTTCAATCATTTTAACCTCTATCTCCATTAGTCCTGAGACTCCTGAGAGTCAGCTGGCTCTCTGTTTAATCGGCTCCTAACAGATCCCACAGTCGTCCTGGTCCAGCTGCTCTTTCAGAGGCTGCCAGTGGTCACACATGTTTTCTCAAAGGAGACAGGACGAGCAGAAAACAAGCTGCTGATCCACACTCAAAGACGTTTCAGCCCGTCACAACACTGAACAACCACTACAGGGCTGGATGAAACCTCCCAAAAAGGGGATCAAAAAATCCTAAATGGCACTGGGAGCTCTCAGCTGCATCCTGTTGCGGAAAGTTCAAAAGATTTCGAAAGATTTGTATTATTTCCCCAAAGAGCCATAGAAGCAGTGAAGTCACACGAGTCACGTAAGAATACATTCCTATGACGCACTTTGTAAAGGCGTTTAGTTGACGCTTGAAATGTTCATTCTTGACTCTCGCCATTTCTTTTGTTGTTTTCAGTGTGACCCGTTTGAGCTGTTTATGGTGTTGACCAGATTACACATTTAAGAGACCTGTTGGATCGTGATGCTCCTTATGTGTGTTTTATCCAGCTCTCCGTATCATGCTTGCAGTTTGACTAGAAAGCAGTAGCTTTTATTTGAACAGAAAACTCAAGCAAGAGCACATTTACACCCGACTGTCGTCCCTTCACTGGCTTCCTTTATTTTAAGGATTGATTTTAAGTCATTATTATTTGCCGACAAATCGATTGCTGGCTGGCTCCAACTTGACCTCTCTCTGACCTTTAGCAACCACATCAAGGTCACTCAGGTCTGCTGACCAGTTCTTTCTGGTTGTGAAAGATCATGATTGAAGCACAGGGGAGGTCTCTCCCTAGACCCTGCAGAGTTACCTCTGCCTAATGTGTTAACCCTGTCAATATAGACATACGTATTCCTTGGGTTTTATTACAGTATGTGCTGCCTTATCACCTTTATTATAATGGTCATATTTGTAAGGTTGGCTTGTCTGTCTTTCAGCAGGAAAACAGGAAACACTACGAGGTGAGGGTGTGGGAATGAGCCTAGAAATAACTCATTACATTTTAGAACAGATGTATATCATGCACACAATCTTTTTCCCTTTCAGAAATGGCCTCAGACCTTCTTGTTCTTATTTAAATGTAACTAGTCTTTTGTCTTAAAGTGGTCACTGTGTTTTTCATTTGTTATTTTCTAAGGGATTCTTTTATTTTTTGGTTTTGGCCATAACTGAAAGTTCCTTTACATGTGGTCTTTAAATGTCAGATAAGGCTGCCTAAAGATTGTTGCTAGCGTCCTTGCTGGAAAAACTGAATCAGATCACAAAGATAAAAACAAAATACCAAGAGCGTCATTTGAGTTTGCAGCTTTACAAAGTTTATTCATTTCTAAACCTTTCTTTTTCCATGTCAGACATGCTGGCGGACCCTATGGGCTACCCCCTGCAGGACCCTGACCTCCAGCTGCTCCCTTACAGCCAACAACAGTACAGCCCTGCCAACCTGCCCTTCTCTCTCTATGGCTCTCCACCTTCCTCCACCTCCTCTCCCTCCTCTTCCTCTTCCTCCTCACAGCCCTGCCACCTCCCCTACCACTACAGTCATCATTGTCTGGAGGCCCCCTGTGACCCCAGCCCGGAGCCCCACTGCAGGGGCCTCGCTCAGGGGCTCGTAGCGGTGGGGCTGCCCCTGGGGCGGAGGACGCGGGTGGGGTGTGGAGGGAAGGGCAGAGGCCAGGAGGAGCTGTGTGTGGTGTGTGGAGACAAAGCGTCAGGGTATCATTACAACGCTCTGACCTGCGAGGGGTGTAAAGGTAGTTCTCACTTTGTTATGCTGTTTTTTAATTTTTCTGAAAGGTTTTTTGTTTTTTACCTTGCCCTCTTTCCTTGTCTTGACTTGCAGGTTTCTTTAGGCGTAGTGTAACCAAAAAGGCGGTGTATCACTGTAAGAGTGGCGGTGGCTGTGAGATGGACATGTACATGAGGAGGAAGTGCCAAGACTGTCGGCTCAGGAAGTGCCGCGCTGTGGGAATGCTGGCTGAGTGTAAGCAAGCACCATTGCCCTTTTAATATGTGAAATTAAATATTCAACTTTATGTTATAAAAGAAAGAAAATAATGTATATATCATCCTTAAACAATATGTTTTTATTTAACTCAAGATGCCCATTTTCTTCTCAGGCCTTCTGACGGAGGTGCAGTGCCAGTCCAAGCGGCTGAGGAAAGGAGGGAAGGGCAGAGGACAGGAGGAAGAGGAGAGCCCAGAGAGCAGGAGGGTCAGCTCCACCAGCAGGCTACCTGGACAGGTAGAGAGCAGGACTCACTCTGATTGGATGGTTTCCATTTCTTTTCATGCTAGCTTCATAGCCCTACAGATCACAGTGTTGATCTGTCAATTGGAGAATTCTGGTCCAGACTGAAATTGGGCAACAGTTCCTGGAGGGACTGCTATGCCACTTTGTACAGACATTCATGGTCCCCAGAGAATATATAATACTGATTTTGGTTATCCCCTTTCTTACTTTCTTTCTTTACATTTTGGAATTCAAACTCCTAAAAGCTCCTAAAAGAAGTCTATATCATTTTTTGTAGCCAAAATGCTCCGATCCGATAAATGGTTTGATCCCATGGCCATTGCAACAAATATCCATGCATTATATTGTATAGTGCTTTGATCTTGAGTCCTGGCTTCATAATTGTATAGTTGTTACTGTTTTCCATCAGATCTTTTATTTTATTTTTCATGTCGAAATTGATCTGATGGAAAACACATTATGGCCATAAGCAGTCTTGCTCATTGATTCACAAAATGTGCCTACAACGGCCTGATACATAAGCATAGAAGCCACAGGCAGAAAAGCTATGGCTCTTGGCAAATGTATATTGTTTCAGAGTATTTCCTCAAATCGCCCAGCCCCTGTTGGTTAAACAGTCGGATTGTCATATGTTTTTTAGTTGTCAAATGATCAGGTTGGTTATTTGTTAAGTGGTTGGTTGCCTGCTGACAACATCTTTGGTTATTTAAATGGTTCAAAATATGATCACATTTTTTTTTTTAAGGTTTGAGTATATTTGGTCAACATGTTTTGTTACATCTCTAAGTGGTTTGTTGGATAGGTAATTTGATGAATCAAATATCAGTTGTATAGCTGGCTGGATGATCAAGCACACCTGTATAAGACAATGGTAAACTCCCCTTCCCCTTAAGGTGGTCAGATTTACACAACATCATTTAGCTATTTCGTTAATGGTCATTTGTTAACTTTGTTTTTGCTCCAGGCTATGTCTGCCAGTTTAACCCGAGAACAGAAGTACATTGTGGACCGGTTGGCGGAGGCCCATCAACTGTACAGAGCACAGGACACCAGCGATTGCAGGGTGGGTCACACATGTGTGGAACAATTATGTGTACATCTGAAAGCTAAAAGAGATACATTCTTCATGTTTGTTGATCTTGTGCTCTGTGCTCAGTTTGAATGGCCATGTACAGAAGAAATGGAGGACTTGTCTGATTTCATATCTCCCCACATGCAAAAACTGCTACAGTTTGCCAGGACAGTGCCAGGTAAGGTGGAGAACATCTATATAAAGTATATTTTAATACAATAAATACATATGTTTATAATATTAATATTGTCTCTTATTAATGGGAAATATTCTCAAAGGAAAAGGACACTCAAAGGTCAAAGACTTTAGTAGGAATGTATCACATTCTGTAATAAATGATACAATCCTGTAACCATCGAACACACAAAATCCACATTTAAAAACAAACCATGGTGTTGCCCTCACAGGTTTTGATCTCCTGGATTTTTCGGACCAGAGATCTCTGTTGTCTGTCTCTTCATTGGAGGTCATGTTCCTGCTCTCCGCTCAGCTGTTCTCCCACAACCCAGCATGCCCCAGTCCAGGTGCACACACACACACACACACACACACACACACACACACACACACACACACACACACACACACACACACACACACACACACACACACACACACACACACACACACACACACACACACACACACACACACACACGAGAGTTCAGTCTACGGAAGCCCTGAGGGACAAAACAAGGATTTTTTAAATTGAAACAGGGGGAAATAAAGTTATTTTACATGAATCTAGTTAAAAAGTGACTTGTTTATAGGATTTGAGCAAAAACAGATTGGATAAAAAATTGGCTGGTGACATTTTTAAATGGTCAGGATTCTTTTATAAAGTTTTTGTCGTTGTTTTTGTTATGTTAACTAACTTTAAGTTGTTCTCTGGCAAGGAATGCATTTGAATAAGCATTAATTAGCCGTAATCATTACCTCAAAAGACAAATGTGCAATGAAACTAGCCGCTAGTGTTACCAAGGTTATGGTGGTTTACTTCAGCCTCCTCTGCACGAAAGGAGCATTACAACACTTAAAATACATTTTTACCAAAACATTTATATATCAACATACCACCTATTTTGTAGATCAAATAAAAAGGTGATCTTGGAAAAACCCTTTTATTTTCCCATAAAAACAGAAATGACAATAAGATCAGACTTAAAAAATGGAAAAAATAGATGTTCATAGCTTTGTGGCTTCCAAATTGACTATTTTTCTCTTTCATCAGCCCTGCAGATTTTTAGTATGTCATCACACAACTGGCTGAGAAATGTAGAGTCAAAGGAAAACTTCCACAGTAGGATGCTGCCAGTCAACTCAGGTAAATACAGACTCACTCAGAAAACATCTTAAAGGTTGGAAATGAAATACAGTTAAAATAAACAATATCCCATTTCCTGGTGTGAACAGGATGCAGTGAGGATCTCCTCGGGCCCGTTCTCAACTTCTTCCACAGCATGGCAGCGCTGCGGGTGACGGAGGCAGAGTACTCCCTGCTCACTGCGACAGCTCTGCTCTGCTCAGGTCAGACCAGAAACTCCCTCTGAAGGAAACTTAATTTTTAGCCTTTGCAGACCATTTACATGCACACACTATAAGGAAGGGAAAACCCAAAAGCATACAAGCGCCTCTTTAATTCTGTAGGATACCTTTTGTAAGCTCTGCCATTCCACAACACTTAATTCAGAGTAGTATTTTGATCATAATTGTTATTTGCCTCTTATGATTTGCACACTGTCAATATTTTTGCGATTTTGATGACATTCTGATTAATTGCTCCAACTAACACAAATTATAATAATTCAAATGAAGTGAAAATTAAACCTTCCTTTACCAGCTGCAACTTTAAAATGATTACATTAATGCATCACTTCTATTATACAATATTTATTTATTAATCATAGGGTTTTTAATTCTGAATTGAATACTTTTACTTCCGTTTGTTTATGTACATTTTGATCCAAATACTTTTTGAATGCGGGACTTTTACTATATTCTTTAAATTCAATTTTAAAAAGGTCTAAGTACTTCTTCCACAACTGGTGACCGTGGCCTTCATCAAGGCCTAAAATGGCTCTGCTGCTATTTTAAAAGCCTCACAACTGGGAAAAATACAAATTTGTACCACAGGTTAAAGGTGGGGTAGGTAAGTTTGAGAAACCGGCTCGAAATACACTTTTTCTTATATTCCATGGAATGCTCTTAACATCCCGATAGCAATGAATATCTGAAGTGCTTTGACAAAAAATCCATTAAAAAAAAACATCTGTGGAAGCAGTGGTACTGTAAATGGATGGC